GCACAGCGGCTCACATTGTCAAAGCTGCAAGAGAATGGGACAAGAATATCGAATCTTTGTCTACTTGGGAGTTTGGGTTGTGATGTATTTTGTATCCTGTTCACTCACTTCTCACCAACTGGTGCGGGAAAAAAAATCTAGGCGATCTGAGGCACATGTCTTGACTTTCTGCGAATCAATGGGAAAAGAACATCTACCAGGGCCCCAAGAGGGCTTTGTATCCGGGTTTCAAGACGTGATGTTCTTCGTGTCCATGTGTTCATTCACCACCCCGACCGGGAGGTACGGTAGGTTTGTGACGCCTGCAAGAGACAATTCTCTTTTGACCATTCCATCTGAGGTTCACATGGGCCGAATTTGGAGGCTGCTTGGTTGGAGTTCAGACCGCCGAAAGCGTTTGAGATCCCTTGAAAAGCAGCTGGGGCTTCATAAATCTTGGGAATGAGGGCCGGTGCCCCTTTAAGCCATCAGAGGCCCGTTTCAGTGATCTTCAAGGGTTCTTTGAATTGGATTGCTAGTGAAACAATAATGTTGAATATTAATGAGTTTCAGCCCATCTTGCCATGTGGCCCATGCCAATGTTGGAAGCTTTTCCGTTTGGAACACTTCACCTGATCTACAAACGAACATCTACAGTCCACAGGTGGATCCCACGATAGACAGCAAACACCCCAGAGGTGGCCGCTGCTACAGTCCCGCACGCGGCACTTCCATGGCAAGAGAGTCTGTCGTTCGGTGCTCCTGCTGGCCGAAGGATGCCGACCGGTGAACATTCCAGGTCGGACCTTCAACATGTCCATTCAGGGTTGGTTTTTCATGACCATGGACAACGGACCATACCTGCTGGCGGCTGGTCATGTCATACTGTCATACTGTTTGACAGATTTTGAGAGTGGTTGTAGGACTCGGATCGGTTGTCCTGACCTTTGCCTGACCTTTGCTCGGGTCTGTCATACAGTTTTTGAATGTTTTCGAGAGATTTTGAGAACTCCAACCACAGTATGACAATATCTGGTAGACAGTATCATTGGAACAGCATGACAAACCAAACAACAGCTACGGGTCATGTCATAGCTCACAGTATGTGTTGTCATTCTTTGAGACAAATATGAACAAGCCGTCTTCCCTGGGAGCCTGAGGCATCTGATGCATGTTTTTTAAGCAAGATCCTTCATCCACTCAGTCGACCCAACTCAACAGAGATCCTCTTTTGACCCCGAAGTTGGTGCCTGTTTTCTTTCGACGCTCCACCCCCACCCTAAGGCACGTTTGCACGCAGCTGCGCTGTGGCGTTCCGCCCACGGCCATCGAGCTGCAGGAGGTGCCTGGATTACCGCAGGCGGCCCGCGCGTCCCGGCCTGGGCGGTCATGATCTCATTGGACTGGGAGCGTTTGAAAGTCCAGTGGAGTCCGACTTGTATATGAGAGTCAGTGGAGTCCGACTTGTATATGAGAGTCGCCCAAAAAAAACACATAACGGGAAAAGGTATTAACCACACCCCCAATATAAATCGGCACAATCAAATTGAAATTCTATGGTGGTTGGAGTGAGCGTTTGCAAGCGATCTTGCTTTGATAAGCGGTTTGTTCAACCGGGGGTGAACTCCACGAGTTCCTTTTCCTCTTCCAGATATTCCTTTAAACATCTTGGTGTTCCTCACTCACAGATATCGCCAAGCCAAGCAATACAAAAAGGTCAATATATATCGCGCCCCAGTTGCAGACCTCGTCGCAAGGCACGGCCGAGGTCGACTTGGGTTTCAGACCTCAAGTTGAAGTTTCATGAATGTGGGAACTCTCCAAAAAAGCCATGGTCATTATGCGTGTTCTCAAAGGAATGAGTTCATGACTCAAACTGTAGCTGTCCTTAACAGTTCCTCTTCTTTTTTTTTTTTCGGAGAGGACATAGAATCGATATCAGCATCGATCCACCAGCTTCCCAAAATCACACCACCAGGGTTTGGGCCCCGCGCTTGCGGCCAACTTTGCAGCGCCTTGGCGAACGAAGACATTCAGAGACGGACGGTCATCATACGCAAGGTGATTCTGTTTGTATGTCCTTGGGGTGTTGTATATGGCACCATAGAAGACCAATTTTCGAGGCCCAGGTGATTTCCTGTACAAGTTTGGTGTGTAACCAGGGAAGACAGATCTTTTGGCTACAGTGCTACAGACCTGCCTTTTTCGTAGACATCAACCAACATCCCCCCCTTTGTCCATGGACCATGCACCCATCTATTTGACACATGGCTCTATTCTTAGTCCACTTGGTCTTCAGGTGCACTGTGGCATTTCAAACATCCATCTCACGTCACGGAAAAGGAAGAACCGACCGTGTGTTGTCCCATGGCGCAGTGCTACCACTTTAGCCTTAGACCTTGGAAGCACAAAGATACTAAAAGTATCCAACAGATTCCAAGAGTAGAGACAGCAAATGGGGACGCCCCACCACCATGGATGGATGTCATTGTTTCATCAGGTTTCTTTTTGAAAGCTGCCGACCTTGCCAATTATCAATTCATACACACTAGTCCCAAGCGACACGCTCTTGGCGCAAGTAAGAGGAAAGAGGATTTTTAGAACAGATGAACAACCAGTATATTGCGATGCATGGTTGTCTATAGGATTCCGATTCCAAGATGCACCACCAGATCCACCAGCGCGGTGCCGCGCCTTAGGTCTTGACCTCCACGCTCTTGCAAACGCACGTCTCGGACGGGCGGAGCGGCGGAGCGGATGGCGGTCATGTGATGTCAGGCAGCTGCAGTGCAGGTTCCGGTTCTTGGAAGGAATATGACTCAAAAAAAGTGGCGTATTGCCAAACAGGTGGTGTATTTGTCCTCCCCAGCAGGTCAAACACATGACTCAACCAAGTTGTTGCTTTCTAGTGAAGCTCCAGCTACGAGGATCTCTACTACACAAGCAGGGCTTCCTGTTTGGAAAGAGAAGCCCACGCAACTGCACATTGGGCTTGCCAATCCAAGACATGGAATTCAAGAAAGCCGCAGAACACCCCGCTCCAGTAAAAAAACTTGGCAAACGGGGGTTGCGTTTTGACCGCGCATGTTAGCTCATGTCTTTTCCTATTGGGCTATTCAATGAGTTGATTGCAAGACACATTTGATCCAATTCTTACACTCCCGAAAACTAACATGGAAGTGGAAAACCACCTGTTTGTAGTGGAAAATGGTCTTCCAAGGGGCCATTCTCCACTTCCATGTTAGTTCCAGGGAGTGTATTTACTTTTGCAGTGGAAGTGGGCCAACAGGTGCGACGCTACCAATCGCTCAGTTCTTTTCCAACCACTTCCCTACCATTCGAGTTCTTTCCCTGCCACAGGAGCTGGACGGAACAATGAAGCTTCTGATTCAGCTCCAGGAGAGTGTGAGTTTCAAGTTGGGGGGGATGACACATTGCGGGAGACTGGTGTCAGGGATTTTGTCACGTGTCATTTGCTTGACAAGAATCACCAGCGAGAGTGTACAGACGGATGAATGCCACCGCTGCTACCACCGGAGTTTGCCATAACAGATGCTGACTGGTGCGACTCGGAGGGAATAAGGGAATGAGCCCCCCAATAGAGATTCTATTGGATCCATTCCCTACTAAGCACCAGTCAGGATGGGATGGATGCTTCTCTCCCAGTGTCCAGATCCTCCGCAAGGTGGACGAACCAACGCCTCCGATTCGAATTGCGGAGTTCGGTCCGATCGTCCGATCTGGGGTTCATGACGTCATGAGGGGGTACAGTATACGACTGGGTAGAGGTGAGTTTGGGGATGATGAACTCATCAAAGGTCTCTTTGAATTTGTGAGGCGAAAGCGAAAGGTGGAGATCCGTGGAAGAAGCTGGTGGACACCCGGTGCAGCAATGGGATTGAGTCTAAGACCGGGTTCGGAATGGGGAGAGGCCTCCCCATTCCAATACGCAAGCAGATCGCTGGCGATCGGACATTTTGGCCACCTGAAGGAGAACATGTCCAATCCTGGCAGGGCGGGTTCTGCTGACGAGCTAGTCTGAGCCAGTGGCCTTGAGAAACTGGTGCAACCAGTGGTGGACGCCGAAGGCACGACTTGTGACTACCCAGAGGTTGCTGAGGCTACTCAGAGGTTGCTGTCATGGAATTGGAAGCGCGCGTTGAGACCGAGAGCTTTTTTCCCCTTCAAGCGACTGGGGCAGGCTACCTCCTGCGACTGGGGCTCACCTGCAGGTATGCTGACTCCTCGCTCGCATGCAGACGACCCGTTGCCAGGGCAGAGCAGGGTGCCCTTCAGAACTTGCGACCGGCCCCGTTGTGGTGTGACCGGTGTTTTTACGCTCAACATGGCCCGGAGAACATGTTGCTGTACAGGAAAAAGAATGACAGGTTCGGATGTAGAGCTGTGCAGCATTTGGTGGTACGAGGACTAGGACACTTTGTTGTTTTTGCATGGTGCCTCGTGGGCAGTCGGCCAGAAGCTTGACGTGAGTCCTGGATAGGGTCGTGTAAGAATACTTTGTGTGTGCATTGCTAATTATATTTATGATACTGTATAATATGTTGATCTAAACAAGCTCTAGCTCCAAGGGTAAATTGAATTCAATGTACATCAACAGGGTTTTTGTTATGTTGGAATGAACTATATAATTACTGCGGTATGGATACAACAAGCTCTCCTATGGGCAGTGGTTCGACTTTAATTCCCTTTAGTGCAAGATGATGTTCCTGGTACATTACTGTGAGAAGAACAGCACGCACACACACATACCTAAAGAAGCAGGTTTGTCATCCTCTTCTGAACCTTTTTGTGCCGCGAGGATGGGAGTGAGGTGGAGGCAGTGGTCATCCATCACACTGGAGAGGCTGGATCTTCCACTTGGGCCTGGGCAGGAGTTCTGGGACGCGGCTGGCTTGCAGACTGGGCCAGTCCAGGGTGGAGACTCACCAGTCCAGGTCTGAGGCTGGTCATATATACGCCAAAACATCACATCAATAGGACGAGGGAAGAAGGATGAAAAGCGTTGCTTGCGTCCTGACACATTTTTTGTTCAGCCTTCACAAGTCCTATCTCAATCTATAGACCTGTTGGGTCATGTTTGTAGTAAACCGGACGATAACATAATTTGCACAACACCTATGTCACTTCAGAACCTAAAGCCTAAGTCATGCCATCTCATGCCTAGTACGTAGTATTTTACACCAAAGAATTGACTCAGCTGTGGTAACAACTCTTCCAATCCCACGAGGTCCCAGTCCCACGCTCCGGACGGTGGGGCCGAAGGCCGAAGATCCTGGACAGCGCCAGGCCGACCGCTGCGGTGCCCCAGATGCAGACGCCGGCGCCACCGGGCATCCCGGGCCGTTTCGTTCGGAGACCGACCACCGCGTTCGGAGCCGTCCGACGAAGGTCCGCGGACGGAGCGGTAGGTTGAGAAATTGTCAGATCTTGTCACCAGGTTGATGAGTCTAGCTTGCCCCATCCTGAGTATACTGCGGGTAGGACATCAACCGCCGTTGGTACATCAACCACCTGCAGTCTAGCTTGCAGAGGTCTGTGGTCCCCGATGCGTTCGAGGTCTGGCCGTCCGGACGTGACGTGACCGGGACCTCGGCGGCGAGTCATCGATGGCCGAAGCGCATCGGTGAGTCACCCGACCGTCGTTGGGACCGAAAAGGGGTCATGACCCTTTTTGAGGAAAAACAGGTATACGGTACCCAGACGCTCCATGTATGCCATATATGCCTACATTGACCCCTCAAACCACCCCAATGTAGGCATATATGGCATACATGGAGCGTCTGGGGTATACTTGAGACTCCAGGATATCAGTTCCACGTTTCCGCGACTTCCGCCCGCTACAGAACGACACCGGAACGGCGCTTCGCCCAAAGCGGCGCGGCGAATGGCGTTACACCTCAGGTGAACGGGACACCCTGTGCGTTTCGTCCCAAGTGGGCTGCCGCTTGAAGTGCCGCTTCTGCGCCACAGGCCTACTGCGGTTCTGCGCGGAACTGGGTGATCCGAGTGAGCAGCTTTGCGTCACCACAAGGAGTAGCCAGAGGCCCATGAGATGATGAGGTGTACATCTTCCAATCGACTAAGGGGGCATGGGCAAGTCGATCGCACTCGCTTGCAAGACACCCTCTCGCTTGCGCACGGGAATTCCCTCGCATCCGGGTTCTTCTCTCTCCACGTCCACGGACCGCGGTCCGTGAACCCGCAAACCCGCGAGTGGCACTGCGGACCGCGGAGGCACCATGGGCTTGTTGGGCAACCTTTGGGCGGGCGAAATCCAAGAGCAGCTGGTCCATGCACGGATGCGCAAGGCGCCGAGTTCGGATCCGCCGGGGTTCGAAAGCACCAGTGTTCCGAGTGACTCCGGTGCGGCCTGTTTGGGCAGCTCCAAGCGAGCCAACCTCCATTTGATGGTGATGCTTCCAACATTCCGAAGACCTCAGGTGGTGGGGGTTCTACTAAGCGATGAATTGAGGAACTGGATCCCTGGACTTTCAAGATTATCCGGGAAATTCGCACAAAACCACTGGTCAGCTGTGGTTATCCTAACAACAAGGAGCCCTAGGCCACCGTGGTTCTTTCTCAATAAGTGAGGCAAATCGAAAGCGGTTACTCTCCGTCTCACGTTCGATATTCATATATCGAATGCCATTGCCAGGTAATCGTGAACGTGAATGGGAGTTGAACCTGTTTCTCCGAAGTGCAGGTAGCACTTCAGCTATAGATGCTCATCACAATCCTCCAGCCTCCAACGCCCCGGAAATGTTTGATATGTGACAGTGTTCCATCTAGAGCCTGCTAGAGACAATCAGCAACATGGTGGGGCCACAAGAGCAAGCACCTCGGACAGGACATGCTCAATCCTGTTCCCCAAGCTACATGATGGTGTAAAAAATACCCTGAGTTTCCAACACTTTATCAATGAGTTGGATGTTTAAGTTTGATGAAAGCTCCCTAGGACCTACAAGAATCTTCAAAGAAAGCCGACGAGCGGCTCACAAAACAGCTGTTCATCACCTGTACCTCATTCGCATTTATACAGCAATTCAGACCTACCTTGAGTTTGGAGTTTGGGTCGTTGTTCTTCTGGCAATACCCCACTTGGGTACCATAAACGGGTTGTTCTTCTTCTGGCCGCCTGCCACCGGCCTGCCACGGGTCTTTGGCCTTTCAGGGCCATGCGGACTCGGTCTGCAACGTGGTCTTCATGGGCATGGGTCCCTCGGAGATCTCAGTGATCTTCGGCAGTTCCAGACGTCCGGTGGAAGAAACCGACTGTCCGACTATCCCATACATAGGTACCCCAGGTTAGGGAGCTAAAGGTCTGTTAGGTCTGAGACTCAGAGGCTTTTGTTTCTCTCGACATCGGAGGCCTTTCCGAAGGACACCGGACTTCACCGGGATGGACTTCGACGATGGTTTTCGGTTGGACTGTCGAACATCCGTGACAACCAAGTGTTTCTCACACTTGACAGTGGTGCTATATATTCTATAGATCGGTGCATATCAATATCCATTCAACCATGGTGTAGCTTCCTCGTGTTAGTGGTGGAGTTGCTTACACTTGCTTGCCCACCAGAGAGAGAGAGAGAGAGAGAGAATGTTTGATGTATTGGTATGATTGGTCATATGTTGCAATTCTTTTCGGAAGCTGGCTGGCTATACCATGGTCTCTTACCAGCCTTTTGGTGGAACTTCCATACTTCCCAAAGACCTCGACCTCGCCGTGCCACGCGACATGGGACACCGACACCGACACCCACGGTCCGGAGCATCGGCAGAACCCAGGCGATTGGTGCGAGGAAGGAGATCGATTTTTCGAAGACATCCAAACCCCCAGCAGTTCCATGGAGTTGGGTGCTATCCATGTGCTATCAGTTGGGTGTCCCCCCATCATGTGCTATTTGGTGCCTGGATGGGACGAGCCATATCACTGAACTCCATGTCTTGTGACTCGCGGTGCTTTGGTACACTTCAGTCCTCCTCCCAGCAACCCACCAGTTGCGACAGTCTGCCTGGCGCCTCGCGGCGCCTGGCGCTTCCGCGGCGAGGCGAACCGCTGGAGAACTACGAGGCCGTGAGCTCTGCGGTGAAGGGCTTCGTGGATCCAATGCGCTTCGGCCTGGCGCCCAGCAGCCTGTGCCTCGGTGGCGAATCAGAACCAAAACGAAAACACCTCCTTGGGCTGGGTGTGCTGTTTGGAGATCCCGGATAGCAGGGCGCTGGGTAGTTCGGACACCCCAGGTCCTGGCATGTTTTCGTTGTGCACTGGAGGTGCTTTTGCTCAATGGAGCACAACGAAGCTATACCGTCCTGACCATATTTGTTGGTTTTCCAGTATATACTGAGTTTACTGGTCCCATGTGACACCCAATTAGCACTGGGAGAACCGATGAGTCATACCTGCGAGCTTCTATATCTTGACATAGTAAAACCCTAGGGATCGATCTTCCTTCTCAGAAGGTACCAAGCCTACATAAATAGTCTCAAGTACCTTGGATCTCTATATAGGGTAAGCAATTGCTTTCTGTCGGGGAGACCCTGAAGAGTGTCAAGGTGGCACGCAGTGGCACGCAGGGATGTATGGACCAGACCTGATGTTCCTGAATGAGGACTGTGAATCTTTCTGGGTGATGGTCAAACAGTTACCCTCTCACCGCATACTAGTTGACCCACCTGCTTGTTTTTGCTTCTTGAGCCAGCTGGAAACCAGAGCCTGAGCAGCTTGGCATAGCTTGGCGAGTCCTTGGTTGGACCCGCATCCTCTGCAGAGAGAGTTTGGGAAAACCAACGGTTGAAACACATGTGAAAGTCAATGAGCTAAAAAACTCCGACGAACATGTCACGTGGGAACTAGAAGCAGCATTTGGTTTGGTCTTCGAAGTCGGATCATCCGAGTCACGGGGCCGTCGAGGAGATGAGCTCATCATGACCCCCTGCTCATCACTATGTCGACAGGTCAGCGAACACTGAAGACTGACAATCTGATTGATGGATGTGAACCAAGCGAACCAAGGACCGTGTCCACAGTGGGGAGCTCGCCACAAAACATGCAGCGCTTATTGGAGGCCGACGCTGACGGTGTGAGGGCGTGGCGACCGGAACTCACCGTGGTCGCAGGGTCCGACAGGGCGAACTCGGCCAACGTAACAAACGCATTTGGAGAGGTTTTGAGTCCGCCCCGGCATGCTAAATCCTTTGCTCCATGCTCGTTGGATTGGACATTCAAGTGGTAGAATGGTGAAAGCAATTGGATGCGGTTCGGGGTCATGGAATTGTCAGGAACTTGCTGTAAAATCACCAACAGGGTCTTCAAGTAGTTGGGAAATCTCAGAAAGAGAATACTAGGCCATACTAGGCCTGAGGTCAAGCAACTTCTAACTTCCAGACCTCGCCAACACCGATTGCTGATGAGTCGAATATATTTACCCTCCTTCAACAAAAAATCGTTTTTCACATGCTTGACCTGGTATTTTGTAGCTTTTGTAGTGTAAAATCCCGTAAACAAACAACATGCTTCTTTGGGTTCAGCCAGGGTAGAGAGTTCTGATTCTATGTGCTCTAGAACTCATAATATCTCATAATATATAATATATATAATATAGTACTTTCGAATACTAAATGTAGAACACGTTTGCAAAGGAGCTCCCCTGATTCTTGCTTGCTTGGTTGTTCTGTCCAGCCACGGTGATTCTCAGGAGCTCCCGAAGATTCGACTTGCGGCGGCTTGGCGGGAAGCGCCTACATAGCGGATCAGAATCAACAGCTCAATAGCTTGTTTGACACAGAAGACCATCATCGTCCTTTTCGTCGAGACGCGCGTGGCTCGTGGCTCGAGCGTCTCGCTATTGCGCTCTTCTTACGCGCTCAACCAGGTGAGCCTCCATGCGCCCAACCAAACCTTGAGAGAAGAGCTGGTGCCTGCGGCCAAGGTGAGGGGGGTTTGATCTCATGTACGTTGAGAGGAAAAGAATACAGATCAATCCGCGCCTAACTCTGAATGCTGTTCATCCATGAAGTTGGTTCAAAGACATGTCACGTCAATCAGTTGGTGTGCAGTTGGGTTGTTTGGTGGTTATTGGCGGGCTTCAATTAGATAGGAACAAGCTATCCCAGACCAGCTTGATGCCAAATCAACCTTCTTTTTTGAGATTGTTTACAAACTTCAGGCTATTCCGATCGACAAGCTCTTGGCCATAGTGGACGATTATGCGAAGAGGGGAGCCGCTGGGATTGGAAGTTGGATGATATTTGAGAACCACGTCCAAGGGCATGTCAAAACTGCTTGTGGATCGATATAATTAGGTGTTCGTGTGGGATCAGGTTACAACAGCCCGCAACACTTCCATGCAACTCATAGAGCAGCTATATTTGCCTTGCGTAGCTTGATCTCGTGGTCTTAGAAGCTCAGTTACATACTGCATGGGTACCCTGAGTTCAACAGAAGCCATGGCCCAATCCGTCAAGGTTCAGGTCGCGTCCAGATGCCCCTACTATCGCCGACCGTCGCAGACGCGGAGCCGAGCAATTTGTTGCGTTCAAGGAGGGCAAGCGCTTGCGGACCGTGATGATGTCCTACGTGCTGTTAAAGGTGCGGGGTTCCCGGCTTGGACTAGACAAAAACAGTTGTGTGTTTGGGGGGAAGAAAGAGAGTGGGGGTAGGACAGTGGGGTCGGCTACTTGCTATAGGACAGGGGGATGAGAAAAAGAAGCCGGTTGTGGAGTGTTAGTCGCCTAGATATTGCTAGAAAGAAGAGTGAATAGTGAGCGTTCAATTTGCCCATGGCATCCCGTGACTTTAGGGTTCACATGACACACTGCATCAGGATCTTTATAGCTGTTTTAACTTTTAACATAAAGGTTTAAAAGCCCATTTGGCTGCCGTAGCAGGATCATCCAGGTATCAAGAGACAAATCCAGAATCTGACACTTACTTTAGCAGTGTTTCCTTGCCCGTTTGATCAATTGTTTGTCACTTCCAGACTGCATCCCTTCCATTGTGCCCGGTGTTTGTACCCAGGACCTGGTCTTTAGTAGGGCATGTTCTCCTCAGCCAGACCGGTGAAAACAGGATCAAGTTCCCATCTTTCAGTAGGGTGTGGTCCGGGGGTAGCCCAATTACCATCCCCCCATCTTTCATATAGGGACATGGAATACAAATACATGCTTAAGGCTTTGGAGTAAAAGCTTCACATCCATCCCACAACCCGCGGGAGCTGTCCATCCACTCCACCGGCTCCGCGCCAGGACGTCAACGACTCGGTGCTGCACGCGCGGGAGCTGTCGGAGCTCTTGGCCAACAAGCCGGTCATTGCCCCTTCGCTCTGAACAACCACGGCGTGTGTGACCGTGTGTGTGTGTGTGTTTGTTTGGGACGCGGCATCAACACCAACGACCACGACCACGACCACGACCACGACCACGACCAGATGCATCTCACTTAACCCAGACGCTCCATGTATGCCATATATATATGCCTCCATGTATGCTATATATATATATATATGCTATTATATGCTTCAATGTAATGTAGGCATATACGGCATACATGGAGAGTCTGGGTAACGTGAATCAGCAGACTCAATAGAGTTTGGATTGAATGGTTTGCAAGCCATTGACCGTAGACTTTCCAGCAGTTGGCTTATTGTCATTCAGCGGGTGTCATTTTGTTTGAACAGATTGTAGGTGCTTAGAAAAGCAGCTCCACGTATTCAGATTCTCTTGAGAATGTGCAACACAAAAAAAAAGGGATTCAGGACTTATGGCGATTCTATATGCACATTGAGAACGTTAAGTCTCCGAATCGCCTCGAGTTGATCCTCCGAGTTCGCTGTGAGATCTTTCTTTGTTGGATCAAAGGGGGAAGACGCTGAAGACGGGAAGACGCTGCTGCATCAGGCTGCATAAACAAAGTGGTTCGAACTTGGATCACAACAGAAATCGCCCTGTCACCCGCCAGTAACTTCTCAAAGCTCAACAACAAAGACAAAACATGACAAAGAAAATACACAATCTGGAAAAAAAGAAGGAGTTCCGTGAAGTTGGACCACGCCATACCTAACCCCTCAGTCATCCAAGTTCGTGTGTTAGGCCATGCGCTTGTTGGGGCCTCTCGACCGACCTCCAAGGTGAACCTCATTCCCTACAATCCCTTCGAAGGCCGAGTTACTTCGCGCGCACGCGCGCGCAGGCAGCTTTTGCGTTCTTTTTCCGGGGAGGGAGGGGATCTTCCAACTGTGTAAAGATGTTTGCCTTTTTGGCTGGATTCAGAGATGAAAAAGCAGACATTTTGCAGTTGAAAGATCCAGGTACAAAAAGTCCATTGGTCATTCTCCTTTGTGGCAAGAAGCTGTGCTTGACTGAAGTCTTCACCAAACCGGCCCGGCATTCACATCAGCCGCAGTGGTGTGGGTCAAGCACATCAATTCAAAATCAACTACCTGAAAACCCCGGATGACCCGAGTTAACCCCGGATGACCCGAGTTTCACTCCTAAATTTGTTTGAAAGGAAAAAGAACCAACAAAACCTCACCGGCTTGGTGTCCTGTGATGTAAGCTACGTTTGGAGTTTAGCCCTAATATGGCGGCATGGTACAGAAACCCGGAAACCCAACGGTACGTCCTTCTGCTCGAGGCAACGTCTACGGCTACGAGGAACCCTCTCCACAGACTGTGGATCGGTTCTTGCAGGTCCTGGCCGAACACAACATCAGGCGATGATCGGCGTCGACGCCAAACTCGACTTCGGGCGCCCGCCCATCGATCCGCGCACAAGACTCGAAGGATCCGGGCACAAAGTGGGAAGAGTTCCTAATAGGAGAATTACAGTAGACAGTATAGTATGTTTGTTGTTGCTGGATATAGCTGCATACAGAAGATTCAGAAGTTAGTTCCTGTCTTATAGGGAATTTGGATACATGGGACTGCCTGAGAAGTCTTTCTTAGAGGAAGAACCTACATAAAAGCACCGCACAATGTTGGTTGCCCAAACTCTTGGCACGTCGCTACATGCAGTTGATATTGGAATTCCTGACCCTCTCCTAAATCGGAGCATTCTTGGGACCTCTTATTCTGTTGTTCCAGGTGTTTGACCAGCACATCGCAGAAACAGCCCAACAGCTTGTGGTTTGTGCTTCAAGGTTTTGTGGCGTGTTGACCACATCGTAAAGCTTCTACATCGCCACCGAGTTCACGGATGGTGTTCTTTTTCCCACCGTCATATCTGTCCCTGGGCTCCAGTGAACTGATACCAGACACATGGAGCCAGCACCTTGACACATGGAGCCAGCACATGGACCTGAACAGACATCGAACCTGGACCCTTCATGACCTGGTCGTGAACACGACACTCCAACAGACCATTCGTGGAGTTCTTCCCCTGTTCATCCCCTGCTTTTGATTCGGCAACGGCCTTGTTTTCCCACGAGGTCATGCCATCCACATACCCAGTCCGACCGAATCGGAGTAAGTCCTGAATCTTGAAAGCGGCGTCAAGATGCGTCAACGGGATCGGGGAAAATGGAGGGAGGGAGGTTTGACCAAAAGAAACAGAGATATTCCATCCATTGCCTACACAGATGTTAGTAATTTATGGAATAGTAGATGGTGTTTTGTACTTAGTCCTATATTCCGAACGCAGAAGAACTGGAAGTCCGCCGGTTATGCCGCCGCTCAGGGTCTTCGAGCGGCGGCATCATGGCCGGGACATCGCAGCGGCCACTGGGGCGAACCTGGTGGCGTGGAAAAGGGCTGAAGATGTTTGCAGAGGTTGTGTCATTGAACAATACATGTGCGGTGGCGGATATTGGAGATAGAGGCTAGAGGATGTTGTGTCATTTCGATGTCACACCAAGGCCTGCGGCCAGCTGGCCAAAATCAGCCTGGGGCCACAGGGATGAGGGTCCTGAGGTCCTGAATGGTGAAAGAGGGGTTGAACCTGGCGTGGAATGAATCTGCAACATCCCTTCGTTCGACTCACAGAATGGAGAACCCAGAAATCAGACATGGTTAGAATGGGAAAAAAAAACACATCCCTGAATCTTTGTGGAATCTACAGTTGAACAGCGGGATTCAATGTTCTTTTCCATGTGCGAAACGGGCTTTTTGCCAAGCTGAGAGCGCCTCGTTCTTGAAATTATCAGTCAGGTGGAAGAGGGGTGAGACACTGAAAAACAGGAGGTAGGAAGCACATGGAAGTTGCCCTGCTGCCGGGGAATGGGGGTGGTTTGCACTGCCTAGCAGCAGAGTCTTCAAAAGCTTTGGAAAGCCCTAGAGATCCGCGTGCATCTTCGGTTTTCCCGGTCAAGCTGGACACGACCCTGGGATCTACGAGGGCAGGTTCAGTCCGTTTTGAAACGGGCAGTTTGATGACTGGATATTCCTGAAAAGAACTTCCTAACCAACCTGCCACAACTACTATAGCATATATACTATAGCGTAGTAGTGATTGCTTAGAGGACATTTCAGCATAGGGGCTTGCAGCAGGTTTCTCACATTGGACTGTGAGAAGGATTCAAAGTGGGAGGCCTGAAAGGTCCAGTGGCTATGCCATCAGGCAAAGCAAGCCCTTCACATGCTGACATTGAGAACTGTGGCGTGGCACTGAACAAGGCCGGGCATTGGGAGCTCAAGCAGCATCAAGTTTGATCTCTGAGGAAGATGCACATAATATGTAACATATATATTTTTTAAAAATATGTATATATGTATAAGACTATGTATATATATATATATAAGACTATCAGACTATATAACTATATATAGATTGTGCAATACATACGTACATTTACATGACCATTTCCAGGGCCTTCCCTGTCATGCCTCTCTTTGTTTGTCGACACCAGCAGGGGTTGCGCACCCCCCGTAGAATTGCTCTGCAAGGAATACGCCAACCTCTCGCAGTCTATCTTGGAATCTTGGGCATAAGACGCCCACGTCATCTATAGTTACCATCCCTATAGTTACCATCCCCCTACCTGTGTGTGTGTGCGTATTTCCTCACCCAAAGACACTGAAGTAGATGTCGTCCCAAAGACCGGCCGACGGCTGTCAATCCACCCACTGGAAGGTGAGGTCCAGGATAACCAAAGCGGTCCCCGCTTGCATCGCCAGCACCTACATCTGCAGGTGTACTGGGAACCAAGTCTCCAGGTGTTTCTGGAATAAAACGACACGAAGCAAACAGCTTATACAACAGTTTTGGTCCTTCGAAGCTTTGGGGCTCGCTACTTGTAGCAAACCCAGGCTCGCTAGCAAACCCCAGTCGTCAACTCTGAGGTGGATGGCATTGACGATTGGAGATCAGCTCAGAATCCATTCAAAATTAAGGCAAACATCAACGTCAACTATGGACTATCGGTCCCAAACTTGTCGAATGGACCAGGCGAAGAACAACAGAGGGGTTCCCAAATGTTCCAGTTTTCAGGATGAACAACGCCTGTCCTCCATCGTTGTCGCTTCCCCAAAACTGCCGTTTTTCCACATAATATATTGAAGGGTTTCACGGTTTGACTTTGACCATCGTTTTGGAGGACCGTGGTCATAGGTTTTGACTCTCTCTAGATTATATGGCTGTGAGTCAGAACCTTTTCCACCACACCCTGGTAGGTTGACATCCCCTGCAAAAATCTGTGGAATCTATGCATGTTCAGGTGTCCACCAGCGTCCCCCAGTTTTGACCCACTGCCGTATGGTTCCAGTTGCTTGGCTGAGGTCCATATATGATCATTTTTCACAGTTCCTTGATTGGATTCGATAGTTCCATCGCTTGGACTTCGGTAGAGCTGGTAGGTGGTCAGCACCTGAACGTTCAGATGCAGGTGCGTTCGCGTTCGCATGTTCAGTCCTGATTCAGGAGCTGGTTCGGAGGAAGTCTTCACGGCTTCGGGAGACTTCCAACTGGCAGCCACTGGGATGGACAGCGCCGCACAAGTCGGTTCGATCTCCGAACACGACCCGGAGGAGTCCTGGCCCAGGTCATTCCCAGGTCATTCCAGGTTTTTGCACGAAGGATCTAGGTTATATGTCGAAAGGTTCGTATGCTCGGAAACACAGATAGATAGAGATAGATAGATAGAGATAGATAGATAGATAGATAGATAGAGATAGATAGCTAGATAGAGATAGATAGAGATAGAGATAGAGATAGAGATAGAGATAGATAGATAGATAGATATAGATAGATAGATAGATAGATAGAGATCAACCCGGATGCAGCATGCAGCTCCGAATCAGCCCCAAACAATTGCGCATGCTGGCTCAAGGGGACCAGGGTGGTTTTGGTCCATGTTGGGACCACACCTGGCTTCCCAAACCACCACAGCAGCTTCATGGTGTGTCCCCAGTCCCAGCCACTTCTGTAAAGTTTATGAAGCAACCCATGTTGGAACAACCAGAACTGTTTCTGCTTGGGACGCGTTTGGGCGACCCAGTTCCCATTTCTCCGCGGTGACCGGCGTGATCAACACACCCGGCGAGCGCGAACCGAGGCCTTGGTTGGTGTTGGGCGCTTTCAGTGTGCTCGTAGTGAGTGCTGCAGTTTACCACCGTGGGCGGTCTGCCAGGTGAGAGTTGGTTCCATGAATTGCTGGAAAGCATCAGGTGCTAAGAGACACATGTTGTTCAACTCCTATATGTTTAAAACATGATTTAGGTGTTTAATTAGTCTAGGTGCCAAGAGACATAGCCTCCCTCAACTACCAATGGACAGGGATGGTCTTTGTGATGGGCAAGTTTTTCCAAATAACATGTTTTCAGGGAGTCTTTCAATTTGGATGTTTCATGCTTTACGCCCTGGTAAAGGAAGATCGTCTTCCAAAGGTCCATGTTCAGGTTGCATGTGGGTCTCTTCCCGAGAGATCCCAGGTGCAGGTGTCTAAGACGTGTGAGTTGTGCATGAGTGAGCCTGCTCGAGAGAACCTTTGTTTCCTCAGCTTTTCGGGAGGGAAGATGGACATCGTCTTCGACGTCCGAAGCCTCAAAGTGACTCGACGACCGTGAAAACAACCCTGAACTCCCTGACCTCTTTGGTGGCCTCGAATTCGGTCTTCCAAACGAACAAAACGGACCATCCCATCCCATCCACTTCGACACTTCTTCGCAACAAGGAGTTCCAGGCACTGCAGGTCCTAGGAGTCCGTTTTTGGGGCGTTGCTTGTCCGGGCCACCGGTGATGCGACTCGTTCCGGCGTTCCTCCTCGTGGACGCGGTCCGCGACGGTTCGCGGCGTTTTCACGCGTCTTTGGGTCCTCAACGGGCACCGGTCGTGCCATCCACGGGACCAGTTGGGTTGAGACATGTTGAGAGCAAACATCACAATTTGAGTTTGGGACTTCTGGGACTTCCTGACCAGAGGTGCAGCTGGGACTGACACCCTAAGGTGTCTAAGGTGAGTTTCTTTTAATGTCGCAGGAAGATATTCTAGTCTGGAAAGTTCATCGAAGCAGAGCGCTCTTCTGTGTTCCCCTCAGTTCTTCCTTTCTTTTTCATCTCTCATCGGTTCAACTCCACTGACTCCACAGAAATCTTTTGCCCCGAACGTGTAGAGTCTAGAGATGCCCCATCAGTGCTTGGCGCAAGAAATGCCCCAAGCGCCGAACATCTACCTGGACTTTGCCTGAAGAGGTTGGGAGAGATGTAATCACCGTAGTTCATTGCCTCATGAGGGTTCTCAATCGAGTTGAAAGATCCCGGGCATTGCGTCACTCACCTGGACGGCTTGTCCTTGGCGAAGCCAGGCCTCCGCGTTTGGCGGGTGGCAGTGTACAGCAGCCCGCGAGAGAGAAAAGGGTGGATGCCGTTTTGGAGCCGCTTTTGCCAGACGCTGCATGGGTTCAAGAAAGGGCACACTGACCAAACAAATCGTCTCAGTGGCATCGTAGCAAGCCAGCTGTCGGGGCATCAGCATGCTCATGATCCTACTGCCCAACGGCGCACTGCTTGAAGACCATGTTTTCTCCTGATTAAATTCTGCTTGAATGCAATTGCTCTGGATCAATGAGTTCTTTTTGGATCATGCTCACGCCAAGAGCCTATAAGAAACCACTCCCCAGTCTCAATGAAGGCTGGGATCCCTGTTGGTTTCTTGTTCTTCGTAGGCAGACCAGACCATCATTTGGTGTTTCCTGTGCAGGCGTAGAACGTGGAAACCAAAACCACCTTACTCCATATAAGCGGGAAGCTCTAGCGTTTGTGCGTCTAGGGTGCGTACAAACCCTAGACGCACAAACGCTGGAGCTTCCCGCTGCGAGCTGTTGGTATGTTTCGAAGCTCCAATTTGGGTGCATTTGGAACTCCTGGAAGTGAGCCAACAGAGTTACAGGTCATTTGCCAGTTTCGATGTGTTAAACACGACTATATAATTAGAAGCATTTAGAAGCTCAATGAGTGAACATCGAAATGAGTGAACATCGAAATGAACATCAATTATATAGTGCATGATATATGATATATAATTAGAAGCTCAATGAGTGAATGTCATCGGTCCCCGAATCCCTTTGTCCTCCGGCCGCGCATCGCCAGGAGATGCTCCGGCCGCGCATCGCAGAGAGGCACCCGTTGACGGGAGCAGCGCAGTTGAGATGGAGTGTCCCAGTGGGTATGCTTACAGAAAAGACTATCCCTTGCTGATCCTTGCTGTATGTTTTGTTTTTAATGTCTATTGTTGTTTTAAAATACCGAGCCTCAGTACACCGTATACTAGTATTAAGCTACATAGTATCGTGTTTAGAGGCTGTTTCGCCCTCAGGGCTCCCATTTTTTCGACTGGCATGTGCCTTTCTGTGAGTGGCCAGTCGATGGCATTGTCCTAGGATTTCACTGAGAGTTTGGGAATTGCTTTCTGAGGCTGGCGGCCATGGAAGATGTGCAGGCGGCTGGCCAGGTGGGCGCCGCGGGTTTGGCGTGCCAGCTGCCTGAAGGTAGCTGTGCACAGAAAACCCTCACTCATCATTTGTCAGATTGTTTGGGTATTGGCCCAAAGAAAAAGACCCAAACCGGCAAGTTCTTGGGCCTTAGCTTTTGAGCCAGTTCAATGAATGAATGTATACCAGCTTCTCGGATTCATGGGGATAGGAGGGCGTTCATCCGCCTTCTTTTAGAAGACCTAGTTGGGAGTTGGGAGCTTGAAACCATATGTAGTTAATATAATATATATATATATATGTGTTCTTTTATGTTCCTGGCTGGAAGTGGACTCAGGGTGCATGCTCTTTGGGGTCTTGCTTGGGTAAAGACTTATTTCATTTCAGGCGAGCCATCAGGCCGCGTTGCCCTTTGCTCTTTCCCAATTTGTGGTGCCATGTCCGTCCGCAAGACGGCCGCTCACATCAGCTCATGGAGGTCAATGTGCGACCCCATGGCCCATGCCATGCAGAGTTGGTCTCCCTCTAACCCCATTCACCAACTTGGCACCACTCCCCATGGCCTCTCGAGTAAACAATGCAGTTGGCACCCAGTGGTTGCCGTCCGGTGAAATGAATTTTGATGAATGGCGCGTGTTTCTTGTCCTAGGGTGTATAAGTGCGTTACTTTCATTCTTAGCGTGTTGGCCAGTGAGAAGATTGCCCGTGTTGGAATTCCCAATGACTGATGGCTTGGCCGCAGAATGGGACCCCACATCAGGGAATGCCCTGATTGAGAATCATGTACTACCGATTGAATTTGCAATATCTCTTCTGGGTATGCGAAGTTCGGCGCAGTTCCGGTGTATGTCATTTGTAAAGCAAGACATTCACACACATTCAAGAATTTCATTCAAAAAGCCCACATTTGAGGAAGGACATATTGATGAGCTGGAAATAAGGCTGACAGAGAATGCGTGGAGGCAAGACTAATGAGGAAAGCCTTGAGGACGGAGATCACATCTTAATGGTCCTTGTCTTTGCCAGATGCAATCGCGACGCAACCTCTTGCGGTTTGACACTCGATGGCGGGCTTCTGGAGCTAGACACACCAGAAGATAGATTTGATGGCAATACAGGCCAACCTATTTGCCCCGGAGATCTTTGCAAGATTTGAGGTCAAGAAGTGGCCAATACTGCTGGTGAAAATGGCTCAAAGGAGCCCCATGGTTGGCTGTTGTGGGCTGTTGCAAAGCGCGGACGCGTGGAGCCAACCATCCCCTCAGAAGCAGGGAACACCTCCAGGAGTTCCATCTAAGTATGTGGATCACCTGATCACAAGCTACCTACTCTCCATACTATTCCTGATTTCTCAATATACCCATTTGCCATGTTAGATATAGAGTTCTTATGTGTCTAATGTCTCTTATTCTCAAACCGTGTCTCAAAAACAGACACAACGAGATCCAAGGTGCAACCACACAATGTCCAGAGATCCGTTGGTTGCTGCGCCATCACGGCCCACCCCGAAGGATCGCCATGCTTCTCCTCTCCGCGCCGCAGGATCGCCGCCTTCAAGCCGAAGCGCACCACATGGCAGGGGCACCCGGAGTGTCAACCCGTCTCGGACGGGATCGGATCGAAGGATCGGTCCATCCGTTCGATCGACACATGTCGCCGTGGAGATGTTTTCCGATGGTCGCATGCACCAACGGGTCGGTGTTCCGGCGCGACGGGTGTAAAGCATCAAAAGATATCAAAAGCATTCATTCAACACGTGCCTTGCCATCAGAGCCGCCGTTTTCGCCCTGAATCAGAAGATAATACTGTAGTCGAACGTTTCGTTGCCTTTTTTTTCATTCGTTGCGTCGCACGAAACGATGTACAAGAGCACACGTGACGTAACGTCTCTTTCATGTCTCGGGTGTGGATTATGTTTGTGTTTGTACCCATGTGTACAATTATATACCCCACTCCACCCCCCCCCCCCCCCCCCCCCTCCTGTTGGCGACGAGGATTGTGTGCAGGTCTGCAATGGTTTTGAACGTTGGCATACCCCACCCGGGCTAATGGTGATGAGGTGCAGGTCTGCAAGTAGTTTTGAACGTTAGAACATGTTAGCACACTCCACCCCACCCACCCCAGCCTGCTGATGGTGATGACAATGGTGATGAGGATCGTGTAGGTCTAACGTCAGCATACCCCACCCCACCCCACCCATGATACTGGTGATGCTGCTTTTTGTCACAAGTGATGGGCAAAAAAGTTGTGATCATTGTCGTTGCCAGTGATCGGCAAGCTGTTGCAAGTGAATGGTGGACCACAGGAGACAGTCAATTGGCAGAGGACGTTTGCAACATGGAAGCAACTGGCTTGCAGATGTTTACAGCAGCTGTTGAATCCCTTCATGCAAGACTAAGAAAATCCAAAATAGTTCGATCATGTTTTTATGCGTTCGTCTCAAAAACGATGATTCTATCTCGGGTGTGTTTGCCCGGGTAACTCTCTTGGTAAACAATTGCGATGTTTGTTGAGAAAGGCCTTTACTAAGCATCATAATGGGTCATGCCCATATGGATGTGCATTAGAATAGGGAGACCTCCCAGTTCGACCCATTGGAAGAAGACAAATAGTGTCTCCCTATTAAAAATACACACCCGTATCTATCGATTCCTGCAGAGGACCTTATCTCTTCTCCATACCTAGGCTCCTGCACCTGAAGAGGACCGACGGCTTGGGTCGAGACAAGTCCTGCTTGTTCAAGGTCTATCATGATACCCCAGTATGGAATAAATGAGGTTTTCCCTCATCTCAGAATGTTTAACACTATCATCCGCTGGCACTTGCAAAA